TAATTAAATAAAAGTTTGACCTGAAGTATAAGTTACTGTAAAGATCAATTCACAATTAAACCATCAAAATGCAAAACCATGACGTGATCCAGGTTCTGTATGGGCTTACTCATGCAGAGCTGAGCAGTCAGTGGATAAGAGGAAACCCTGTGAATACATTAATTTACAGAGCATCAAAATATAGGCATTTATATACTCCTAAAAATAAAGGGAACAGTCAAATAACACATCCTAGATGCGAATGAATGAAATATTCATATATATATAATATCATTGAATACTTTGTTCTGTAAAAAGTCAAATGTGCTGAAAGCTCAATCACACAAACATTAACAATTGAAATAAAACTTTTTAACCAACAGAGGGCTGGGTTTGGAGGCATTCACAAAATTAAAGTAGAAAAACACACTGCAGGATTGCACTTTGATGTAATGTCCTGAGCCTGCTTCTGATGAGAAGGTGGGTGGTCACCTGAGGGATCTCCTCCCAGACCAGGACTAAAGCCTCCACCAACTCCTGGACAGTCTGTGGTGCAACATGACGTTGGTGGATGGATAGAGGCATGATGTCTTAGATTTGCTCAGATTCCGGTCTGGGGAACGGGCAGGCCAGTCCATAGCTTCACTGCCTTCATCTTGCAGGAACTGCTGACACACTACAGCCACATAAGGTCTACTATTGTCCTGCATTAAGAGGAACCTAGCACCAACTGCAGCAGCATATGGTCTAACATGGGTCTGAGGATCTCATCTCGGCCATACTACCTCAGGCGAGAACATGGAGGGCTGTGTGTCCCTCCAAAGAAATGCCACCCCACACTATTACTGACCCACTACCAAACCGGTCATGCTGGAGGATGTTTCAGGCCGTGGATCACTCTCTGGTGTGTCTCCAGATGTACGCAGTGTGAACCTGCTTTCTGAAGAGAACAGGGCGGCAGTGGCTAATTTGCCAATCCAGGTGTTCTCTGGTAAATGCTAAGCATCCTGCTGGTGTTGGGCTGTGAGCACAACCCACATCAGTAGACATCTGACCCTCATACCATCCTCATGGAGTTGGTTTCTGTTTGCGCAGACACATGCACATTTGTCGCCTGTTGAAGATCATTTTGCAGGGCTCTGGCAGTGCTCCTCCTTGCACAAAGGGGGAGGTAGCGGTCCTGCTGCTGGGTTGTTGCCCTCCTAAGGCCTCCACAGTGTCTTCTGGGAGTGCGTCGAGCCTCTGGACACTATGCTGACAGACGAAACAAAACTTCCTACCACAGCTGTCATTGATGTGCCATCCTGGATGAGCTGCACTACCGGAGCCACTTGTGTTGTTTGTAGAGTCAGTCTCATTCCAGCATGAATATAAAAGCACCACCAATGTTCAAAAGTGATCAAAACATCAGCCAGAAAGCAAGGCTGTGGTCCTACTAGCAGAAACACTACTTTATTGGTTTGCTAATTGCAAAAAATATTAACCCATTGTCTATTCCATCACACATCAGAATGAAATTGTCATTCAGCGTTGCTTCTTAAGTGGATACTTTGATTTATTTGAAGTTATTTTGTGTTAAGTGTTCCCTTTTTTTCTTTCTTTAAAAAGTATTTATCAATGTTTTCAAACGGTTCATTGCTTGTGTAATTCCAAAAAGTCTGGCATCACAGAAACATCTGCAGGATAAAGCAGGAACCTTGATCATCTGACACTCCCTCTGCATCACCTAGGCTCAAAACATTGTTTTTATAATATAAAATATGGATTATTACTGTTTAAGCTGTGCTTTACCCCCAACAACATACATGCTTAACTTTGATCAGCTTTATTTGTAAACGCTTGTGAACCTGAACCCCATTTGTCTTGTAAGTCATTGATTGCATTTGCTGAAAATTTTAGGCATGAAAAAAAAAGCTTAATGGTGTGTTTGAAGTATTATATATTAATAAAAAAAAAAAATTCTGTTAATTTTTATTTTAGTACAATGCTAAAGTCAATTGACTAAAAATACAGATAAATGAAAAATTCTTTTTTCAAAACAGCTGGAGAAGCACCTCCTCACTTTTTCCAGTAGAGGGCACTAAGATGCATAAAACGTTAACCCCCACCAAAAACAGACTTGTGGAGCATCTGACCTGGCAGCCTCCTATAAGTGAATTACTGATAAAGACTGTAACTACCTGGAAGCCAAGAAACTGAGATAAATGAGATACAATTAAAGGATTACTGGCATGCTGATGTTAAGACGGTATTTAAAAAGAAACTATTAAACTTTACAGAGGAGCAAGGCTGATGGAACAGTGGATAAGAAATTCCTTTATTTGACTTTAACATAATTACAAGGAAACCAAACAGTCTGCAGTTTTCTAGCTTCAGTGGGAATCGCTCTAAGTGAATCACACTCAACACAGCAGGTCATCTCAAACTGCTTTTTATTACATCTTAAATAACAGTACATTTTAATATAGTTTCTATCTTGCATCCAGCTTTCGGTTGTACACTGACTGACTTTAAAATTAAATACAAAAGGTGAAGGGGAGGCAGTGGGGAGGGGGGTGCAGAGCTCTACAGTTATTTGATGGAGAAAGAGAAAAAGGAAAAAAGTTTAATTAATTTTTAATATTTTTATTCGTTTTATTTTTTGCCAACTCCAGGCCTAACGCACAATTACAGCACATTTTCTTTTGTACAGAATGTCGCAGAGAGAGAGAAAAAAATAACAGGTTGGGAAGAAAAAAAAAAGATCCTACTGCTAAAGAAAAGCGTTTTGTTTACAAGGAGAAGGGAATAACAGAAAGTTCTGCCATTCAGATGCTGCAAGATTTTTTTTTCTCATTTTCTATTAAAAGGTCAAAAAAAATGAAACTGTTATAAAATGTTTCTGTAAATGGAAATTTCGTTTGCTACAGAAGGAATGAAAATCGATTTGTTCCATTTGGACTGTATGTGTTTAAGGTAAATGAATGTATGTACGCTTGTGTGTACAATTTAAGCATTCATGTGACTTCTAAAATTAGTGGAATCCCTCCCAAGAATGGACCAAGTAACCGTTTATGTTGCAGGGTTTGCTTCTCAAGTGCATAGCTTTGACATTTCAGTTGAAACATGTATGCACAGAGTAGCAAAAAGAAAAAAACAAAAACAAAGGAAAATAGAGAAAAAAAATATAAATACCATTGTATTGATATATTCAACAGGTTATTTTTCTTAAAGAAAAACATCAAAAGGACTTAATTCCATATGCACCTTTTAAGCAATTCTACAGCATGCGATTCTAAGAGATAACCCACCCATGGCAGACAACCAAAAATCTTTTTTTTCTTGTTTTTAACTTAAAAAGTTTCAATATCATTATTTTCAAACATTGATTTATACAACATGTCATTCACAGAGTAGTAACTGCATTTCCAAGCACGGAATGGGACCCTCTGTTAAAAAGAAACATCCGGAGCGCAACCGGGCTAAAGCGGAGGTAGTCCCTACTCAACCAGATCACCTCACCGGTCCCGACCACGGGCAACAGAAACCAGGGAGAGCTAAAGTAAAAGTAGGGGGGGAATAAAGGAACAAAAAGGAAAAGGGTGGGCAGGGTAGATTATGATCTGATGGGTTAATCTTCATTTAATTATTCTACACTGTTGCCAGACAGAAAGGTGTAAGAATGGTTAAAATGTTTCTTTTTTTTTTTGTTTTTCTTTTTTACATTTTAAAAACAAGCATTCATTATCATAAACAGCATGTGCTTGGTTAGTTAACTTTTTTCCTTTAGACATTATCCTATATATGCAACGTTTAATTTTTGTGCAAACAAAGATCTGTGGACTACACTGGAAAAAAAAAAAAAAATAAAATAAAAAGGAACATTAAAGTATCATGGAGCTAAATATACAGAAGGGTGAGATGTGGCTTGAGGACTCCCCGTTGAAGCTGAATTCTCTCACTTTGTTCTCCAGTGGGATAAAGCTGGGCTTACGATGACGCGGTCTGGAGCTTCGCTTGCTTCTCGGTCTATAAACATTCGCCTAAAGACTAGGAAATAAATCAAAGCTTTGATCCTCGTTTTAAACATTAACTGACAGTTCACTGATCTACCTCTCTTCAACAGAGTGTAATGATGAACAGAGAAGCAAAAGAAACATGGTCAAAAAGCCATGAAGAGTTAGATCACTGCCTTCATTCAGACCTGTGCATAAGGAGGATGCAGGACACATTTGCTGTGTGGTGTAGCAGTGGTGGGAGGGGGCTTCGTATTTTTCATTTATTACATTACCAGACTATTGTTGGAGAGGTTTTACCCCCAGCAGCCCACTTGGAAATCACTAAATTCCTCAAGCTTTTTTTGTGTAATTTTTTTCTAAGCTGAATGAGTGAGACAATTGTGCTCTTTTAAATGAGAAGAAGAGAGGAGGAGAGAATTTTTGCCCTTGATAGTTTTTTTTTTTGTTTTTTTAGGGGGGGAGGGGGGGTGTTTGGAGTCAGTATCATGGTGTTTTTTTCTTTCAAAAAAGATTGGATATGCAATAAAATGAACATTGTGATGTTGGAATGGTCTTTCACTCAACTTTGGAGTCCGGATGACATCTAGAAGGGAAAAAAAGGTAAACAATGAAGAATGGGTTACAACTTTATTCGACACAGGCCGATTCTATTCAGATTATTAATATGATGCCAAATCACAACAAATGCCATCTCAAGGCACTTTACAGATCATGATATGATAAATATAATAATAATAATAATAATAACTGTATAATGCTTGATTATTGGAATTTAAACCAAATTCAACTAAATATAAAAAGAGGCTGTTGTTTAACATGCTGTACTTTCACTCCTAACCTCCAGGTGGCAGCACATACAATCATAAGTTAACAGCAGTACATGTATGATGAAACATGAGCTTTATACTTTTGAAACTCTTAAAAATTAGAAATAGTTAACCTTTAATAGGTTTAAAAACTAAAGAGCATATTTGGATAAATGTTTTGTAGCCATGAAAACATTTCTTACAAAATTAGAGCAGAATAAAAACAGGCACAAATTTAAAGCCTTTTTAAATATGTTGCGTACATTTCTTGGATAGAGGAGAATCTGTTTTAGAATCAAACAACCTATTTAGCCTGAAAGCCTTTCATGGCCCAAACATTACATTACCCGTGCATCATTGAGAGATTTTAACGACACTGAGTCTGGAGAAAGATTACGTTTTTTAAACATAATGTCAATAAATTGGCGTTTGTTAGGTTTTACACCCAAGAGTTGATCAGCTGCCAAATATAACAGCTAGATGTTAAAAACAATGGAATCAAGTGGGACAAAGACTCCCAAACATGCATCCAAACTTGTTTTGAAATCTGGAATGACCCAGATACTTACTGGGTTTTAATTAAGTTAACAATAATTTAAAGCTGTCTGTGATAAAAAACAAACAAACAAAAAAACATCTAATTTAAATTATGGCGACCATTTCTCATATAGGTTATCAAATACCAAATCAGGTCAGAGGCTTGTTGAGGTTTACAGTGAGTATGTGATCACTAACCAGATGTTGGTGTCATTTCATAAAACATAAAATTCTGCACCCAGATCTTGTTTTTGAAAACATGAGAGGTTATTTGCTCTGTTTAATACTACCCTTTAGATAAGAAAACGGTACATTTTAGCCTTTGATTTGGACCATTTCATTTCTTAGTTACAGGATATGAACGCTCCTGGTTCCTCGTGGAAAGCTCACCTTCGGACTCTAGTTCCAGATCTTGAGGAAGCTGTCCCAGGACCCTGTTGCCACTGCCATGCCATCGTCGGTCACACCCAAGCAGCTCACCCGGTTATCATGACCAGCCAGGACACCTGCAGAAACAGCAAACAGGAGATATCAATGAAACGGCAGATGTGAAACTGTAAAACGTGAAAAGTAAAAGGATTTATAAATCAGACAAAGAAGCACAGCGTTCAGGTTCTGGTAACGGAGGACAAAATTTATAATGTAGAGAATTACATTTAAGTGCACACAAAAAAGAACAAAAGAAAACGGTACTTTAAAAAAAAAGCACATGTACAGCAACTACTACCATAAATTCTCAATCTACGACATCTTTATTTATTATTATTTTTTTATGCAAGCTATGGAGCTCCTTTCAAATTACTTTAACACTTTGTCTACCTTCCTTCTTACCCTCAAACACAAATGCAACAAATTAATTGCATGGGATGATTAGCCGATTTTTGATTATGTGCAACTTTGTGCAGACCAATCAGCGTGACCTAGAAATACAGATATATTTTTTTGTGCAAGAAGAAGTACATATTAATTACCCATAATTAGAGTGTAATGATAATAGCTATTTTAACTGAGGATGTCCTGATGTGATGTGGATATTGTAATTTAAAAAAATATGGACAATATGGAGCTACATGCAAAATCTCAGGTATCGTCTTGCAGGTAGAAATACTTCAGTTTTGGGTCAGTTACCCTCATAGTACTGCTGCTTTATTCTTGTTTACAACTTGATCAAATCGTTTCTAACATTTAATACTTTTTGTGCCAATAAGGTATCGGATCAATATCACTACTGGTTAATACCCAGAACTGCAATATCTTATCAGTCTAATAATATTGACAGGATATGAATTTCATACAAAAAGGAAGAAAAACAAAACTTTTAAATATTTACAGGTATTGTGCTAAAAAACACAAAAACACAACACTGCTTGACAATCAAAATATTTCCGTTAGAAAAGTAGAAATTATTTTTGAAACAGCTAAATATTTTCAGGAATAACTTATCTACTGGTAAAAACCAAGTTATTTATTACAGTAGGAAGCTGAGTGTTCAGGACTCTGATCTGTTTACATGAATCCATAATGAATCCAGTTGAGGCCTGCTCAGATTCATTACCAAATGGTGTGTAAAACATTATCCGCATTAAAGGATCCTAAGTTGAATGGTGGAACACTTACTAAAGAACAGTTTTGTAAATGCATAGCCCCACAAATGTGGTAGCTGAAAGTAACCTTAAGATGAAACGATTTTGGATAAAACAGAAAGGTTTACCAGAAGGACTGGAAAGGAAAACATAATTTCAGCAACACTGTAACTGCTTCAGTGTGCTTTTGTTATTAGGGACAAATTCCAACTCTGGCAAACATCTTTTGCTGAAATGCCTGCTAATGTCCCATGATGCATTTCTGTTTCATGCTTAAACCTTTAGTCTGACTTGACAACAAGCTGCACTATACTCTCCAGAGGTCAGAACCTCTTCTGATAAACACCATGTGCGTGTATTCCTGTAAGCGTAGCGCTGTCACACACTAACAGTGATTATGTTCAGAGGATCTGTTGTACATCATAAGCCAAGAAGCTAACCACCTAGAAAAAACCCCCTAGCCTTTATGATGCCCTTAAATAAAGCTTCAAATTTCCACCTCGTTTCTGAAACTGCAGTGATGAAGCCGTGCAGCTGCCTGGGATCTCTGACGCTCGCGTTTAAATGATGGGAGACGGTGAGAAGCTTTAAAAGGCCAGCCTATCCTGAATAGCACTTCACAGCTCTGTTTGGACATGCTGACAAGTGGCTGAACAATGAGCAGTGAGATTTTCCAGAGGTAAAAGTGTTAAGCTTCAGTATTAACGTTATGACAAATCACTGGCATTTGGTAAAAAAAAAAAAAGATGTAGACAGTGGGATCAGAGAAACAGGAAAAGTCCTCACAATGATAGAAATATCAGTTATCTAAAACATTTCTAGGATAAGGTAGAAAACCTCATTCACCAAGATCATTTCCTGATTTTAGCAGCTTTCTGACGTTTTTTTCCACCCACTACAAAGGTCCAGACTCAAATGTTTAGACGTTTATCTCAGCATTTAAGTCCCAGATCTCAACCTTTAAGATCCTTGAAGAAAAAAGTATCTATGGTCCCTTTTCTAGCAGCTTTACGTTGCTCTCCTCCACCCTGACAGCCTTCAAACGTTTACATCACTGCTTCTCAGTACAGGTAATGGCCTTATTCATCCCTAATTCTCTGATTGTAGCTGCTGCTGAGCAGGCTTCTGGTTCATGTATAATCACACAAAAAATCAAGCGGAGAAAACGGCTAATTTTGTGGCGTCTGAACCAAAACTAGGGATAGGCTTTATTATGGAGCTCTTGAACTTTTTATTAAGCATTATTAGAAATTTTTTAAAGGTTAAAAAGAAAGGTATTTCTTTCATCAGACTATGCAGGAATCTTTCTAAATCAGGCTTTTGGAAAGATGCAAGTCCGGGGATGCTTCACATCTCAAACCGTTACAGGAGAAGCTGCAGGCTTCCAGAAAACCTTTCCTTCTAAAAAAAAAAAAAATGTATATCCTCAATTCAGTTTAAACGTGACCATATATTACAGAAATAACAAACTGCTCATAAATGAACAGATTTTGTTCACAATAAAACAGAAAAATTAAGATCCTGACTTAGTCATTTATAAGGTACTTATAATCAGAATCAAGTTTATTGCCAAGTAGGTTCTGATTTTGATTCTATAAAATAAGTTAATGTAATCTTACACAGGTCTAGAAAAGGGCAAACAAAATCTTACTCCTTATACTAGAGCCAAGACTTTCTTCATCTTTCAATTCATAGTTAATTTATAAAATAAATGTTTTTTATTAGGAAACTGTTTGGATAACCCAAAAGAGCTCTTATCTTGCGATTTAGACTTTAGGTCAACTTTAAAAACATTTATTTATTTTGAAAAGGGGCTTAATAGTATACTCACTAAACACGTTTAAAATGTGTTGACTAAGCTAAACTTCCACATCTTACAGTGATTTTTGGTTTATAACCAAATCTTAAAAATTAAGGATTTTCTTCATACTTAATGAAATGTACTGCACATCGACACAATTATCAACTATACTGCAGGTTTAAAAGGAGAGAGAAACAAGTATCAAACAATAAAATAGCTATAAAAGATTAGCCCAGTTTATATAATAAAACATGTCTTCAAACTTTAAACGTCTAACATGAAATCATAAAGGTGCCGAAGTTCTCAGTTTAGAATCACACAACAGAGCTAACTGAAGAAGTTAGGACACAACTTTTTATACCATAAGGCCTAATAAGGAATATATGGCTGAAACAGTTGGTGAAATTCAGTTAAAGTTCACCACAGTATTTTTTGCGGCACGGCTTACCTGCGCGGTCGCCCTTCAAAGTGTCCCAGACGTTGCAGTTGAAATCATCATAGCCAGCCAGCAGTAAGCGGCCGCTCTTAGAGAATGCTACGGAGGTGATGCCGCAGATGATGTTGTCATGTGAGTAAACCATCAGCTCCTGGTCGGCACGCAGGTCAAAAAGCCGGCAGGTGGCGTCATCTGAGCCCGTGGCGAAGGCGTTGCCATTGGGGAAGAACTGTAAGAGGAGAGGAAACTATAAGGGCTCATATCTATTAAAATAAACAACCTAGATGTATTTTACGTTAATTTCTCGATAGGAGAAATTCAGAGGCAGAAGTAGGAGAGAAGCTTATTTTAATCATCCAATATGCAGAGAAAATTAATTGTGTTGCAGTAAATTAATTTCAGCTAAATTGGATAGATTGTAAAACGGATTAAATCAGACATAAAATATAATCACATCTAAAAGGCATATATTACTAATTATCTATTAAGAGAACGTGGCTAATAAAAAAATAAAACAAGAACCTATTGGTAGAAATGTATTCCTGTTGCATTGCTACATTTTCTTACACCAAACTATAAGAAAAACATTATTTTAAATGGATGGTCGTCAAAAGAAGGTAAAGGTAACACACAGTTGGTACACAATGATGAAAAAACTGAATATTAAAGGGAATAAATGACCAATAGCCTCTAAAATCATTTGTCAGATAGAGATTAGCTGAATAGCAAAGACTTCTTGGAAATATTTGGTTGATAATAACCACATTTTAATTAATCTAATTAATATCAGTTCTCTCTCTCTTCGGGCTATACTGTCTGCCTCTGAGCTCCATCTAGACACTGAGGCAGAGCTACGCCTCATCACTGTGTGCTCCCACCATCAAACTGGCATCAGCAAGTGTTCAGGTGAAAACATACACCTTCCAATGGTCAGTAGACACCCCGACCCATCATGTATTTATGATTTGTGTGTTTGTGCGCTCTTCGTACACAGATGGCATTGATGTCTGACTCGTGGCCAGTGAAGGTCTGTCGGCACATTCCTTCTCTGATGTCCCAGAGCTTGGCTGAGGCATCGCAGGCTCCAGACACAAACAGTCTGCTGTCCGGCGCCAGGGAGAGGCTCATCACGTCACCGGTGTGACCAGCAAATGTAGTTGTCTGTTGACCAGTTTCAATGTCCCACAGAGCACTGAAAAAGGAAAAAAAAAAAAAAAAAAAGTACTATTAACAACTGATATTCAGTACAGAATTAAATCTGCAGCTATCTGACTGCAGGTATAATGTTATCGGAATAAAACAAACCCAATATTTTTGGCGGATAAAATTAATGAAAAGCAGTTTTTAACCTGTTTGGTTTTATTCGACCCTATTCGGCTCTCTTTGATCAAATATGGATGTAAAAGTGGTGTCATATTAAGATTAATATATTTCAAAGAACCAAAAAAACAAAAAAAACAAAAAGAAAACAAAAACAAAAAAAAAAAAAAACAGAAAAAAACTACAACTACATGATATCTTAAGAATGTTATGATACATACAATAAATTATTCTAAAATACATTAAATACTGATGATTTCACATTGAAATGTAAGTCATGCAATACCCCAAACTCACCAGGTGGTGTCTCCAGAGCTCGTTACAATCTGGTTGTCATCCAGGAAGCGACAGCAGGACAAGTAACCTGAACAAAATCAAACACAAAGATCAACTAAGGTATGGTGTTCGCTGTACTTCCAAGTCAAACTGATGGGATGTTACTTTTTCTGCAAACAGAGGAAGGGTCCTGATACCGAACAGTCATCACACCCACAGAGAAGGCTGAGTGAGCTGCATGTGGGGGAGATGAACAGCCCAATTCTCCACAAACAAACATGAAAACACTCGAGGGCATCTCCTGGTTTACAGCTCGCTTCCATAACTCATCCAATACTAGCTGGCAGAGTGCATTCACCCCTCCCCATAGTGAGGGAACTGGACTAAAATGCTGACACACTTCCTGCATCATGTGACACTGATCAGATGAATGCTCCTTGCTTTAGTGCTCAACGCTTTCATTAGTTTGTGATGATACTAAGGTCCTTTAATGCATGGAAATCTATATACTTAGACCATGAGGATGAAAGAAGCAAACCAGCAGGGTTCCTACACATTCTTCACAATTTCAGACTATTCTTTTTTTTTTTTTTTTTTTTTTCCAAAAGGTTTTTGTGACCTTTGAAAAATTTGAACACAAAACATGATCCTATTAGGGTATTCTCTGTATACTCCACATCATGAAATGACACCAAGAAGAGGATGGCTACCATTGGGTGAATAATAATACTGAATATAGATATATATATTTTTTTTTTTTTTTTTGCAGAAATGCGTTCATTCTTCCTCTGGAGTATAAACCAGATCCAGGTGAAGAACTACATGTTCAGCTTAACGTCACTCTGGAAGAAAGTCTTGTTTAGACCATTGAGGAGTTGGACTAAAACTTTGGTTAAAGTAACAAAATATTAAGTGAAATGAAAATATGAAAATTCCTATATTTTAGAAAAATTTGGATTGTCATTTTCCAGGCGTAGGAGAGATGATATAAGTGTAGAAGCTCCAACAGTTTTATTGAAAAAAATCTAGTTTCTCCTCCATAACTTTAAGTCATCTATGCTACATTTCTATTACTTCAATAATGTTTAGGAAATTTTAACCATCAATTTCAAAATTTTTGATTTATGAAAAAGAAAAAAAGTGCAGTAAATAATGTAAAGTCCCTCTAGCTAAACCTCATAATCTGACAGATTTATTCTACCCAATTGCAACCTAAAAACTTGGAACGCTGTACATGACATAGTCACACTTTGTATATAAAATTAAACATCAGCACAGGTTGTTTGAGACTTGGAAAAATCTTTATGTGCAGCAGTATGAATCATCAGTTCCTGGCTGCTTTATCTGGAGGTTTAAGAACCTTCATAGAACAAACAAAGCACTGAATTGCAACTAAAACCCATTTGATCCAGAGACTGATGGCTGAACTAGAACCAGGGTGATCCAAACATCAGGTCTACCTGTGTGTCCGGCCAGCTCACGGCTGACGCGCACATTTCCTTCACGGGTCTTCAGGTTGTAGATGGAGCAGATGTTGTCCAGGCCACCACAGGCAACGTAGTTCCCAGAAGGAGCATAGGCGCATGTCATCACCCAGGAGGAGCGCAGTGGGATGGCGTGGACCTGGAGGAAGAAAGATTTAATATTAGATAGTATGCAGTGACAGATGGACCAGAGAAGAGAAAGAGAGCAGGGGGCATGTGACAAATTCTGTTTGCAGTAATAACCTTTCAAGGGCACAAGGCTCACTACACACCGATAAATAACATACTGTTATTTTAAACAAACACACACTGGAAATATGGAGATAATTCTTCTGATGATCAGGTTACCGTCAGAGCCATTTACCTGGCAAAGTATCAAAAAATGTGTTTGAGGTCAGGAATCCACCTTTGATCATTAATGAAATGCCTTTATCCATCACTGTGATTATATTGTGATTCAATTTCAGTGTAACAGTGGAAAAGCTCATCTAGTCTGGATGGGTAAGAACTTATTAGGAACTTTGGCCTAATCCTAAATGATACAGTAACCTATTTAACATTTCTTTAATGTTTTTATTCACCTCCCTTAAAGCCAGAATTAAAAAAAAAATCTATTTTATTTTGAATTTAAATTTACAGAGCACCTTAGAAAAATGGACCACATGCAGCTACATTTATTCCCTTAAATTTATTCCTAATTCTGCATAGGGCTGAATGTTGACTTTATTTAAATGCTTTATGTTTGGGGAGCAGGTTAGAACGGCTCCATGTTTTAACCAGCTTTTACCTTGTTCGTGGTGTAGCTGTCCCAAATAATGAGTTTGCCATCCTGGGAGGCGCTGACCAAAAGCCTTGAAGAGAAAAAATATATAAATTTAAGATTTATTATTTCATATATTCTCTTATTAAAATCCTTCAAGAATCTAAAAAAAAAAACACATAAAAAAATCATGTTTGAATATAGCAAATAAATCCAACATCTTCAAATATAAAGCAAGACTGTCAATTCTACCTTCTTTTAATGTCAACATGAAACATTTTGACTATTTGCTCTCCACTTCTCACAAGACATCAATAATATTTTTCTGATGGAGACTTTTTAAAAGCAGATTTAGTCCAGAGAGCCCTCTCAGGTGCTCTCTGTGGATGTAATCTGCCATCCAACAAGAGTAACCACAGAGACGATCCCAAAGGTGCAGGAGCAGCGGTGAGCAAAGCAAGGACTGCAGGGACTACGCTCCACTTAACTACAGCACTGACGGTAATGAGTTCACATCGAGATGGCAGAAAAATAAAACAGGAGGGCATTTCTACTGTGATAAAACTTTTCACGATATGACTTCAACCTAACATTATGTAGGTTACAGCAGGAAACAAAGAATAAAACAAACAAGGAGCTTCTGGTATCCTGTAATAAAACGTGTTTCCTTTGGATCAGCCTGTAGTGAAAGAGTCAACGGATCAGCTGAGAGATGGTGATGAATCGCTTTGAGGCATTCATCTCAATATTTTAATTCTGGTTTCAGCTCAGATCTAAGAAACTCTAAAACTGTTTAAGTTCAAAACATCCTCGTGTTGAACAGCTCAAATCAAAATGAGAAAAAAATCCTGAGAGGTTCCCCTTTACTATTATCACCCTGCTGATGTTCACGGATCACTTAGGTAACAGGGCCTCGTTCCCATCTAATGCAGAAACGTGTTGATGAGATGGGAGCTGTTTAAAGATAACTGGAATAACTGAGATTGAGTATTTATTTTAAAGAATCTGTTCCATTTCCTTAAATAAACCTGAAGCCATAAAATATTTTAAAGGATGTTAACTGTATTACGTGGCATGCGGATGATTTTGTCCCATGAAAAACATACTTGACTTTTGTTATTTTAGTAACTGCTTAATTTGAAACATTCAATACAGGACAAACAGAGGGAGGATGTCAGGACTTTAGATTGTTTTAACTCCATCCCTGCTTAGATTCAAGAAGAAGCTCAAGCCCAGAATATTGAATGAAAAGGTCTGAGTATCTTTCTTCTCCATTAGGCCTGACGCTCATAAGCACTCCACTGCAGCAGGAAGTAGTGGTTTTCATGACCTCAGCAACACTGATTAATGCTCTGCTTTGCTAGAAAGCATAAAAGTAAAAAAGAAAGGCTTTAAAAGCAGTGAGGAGGCTGGTTGATCTGTCTTCAACAAAGGGTGACTCCATTTTGAGTATTTTCCCTACCCTCATGCCACATCCCAGTGCACACAAACACGCCGCACCAAGACACCAAACAGCAGGCACATGTCCAGTGAGCTTCTACACGACCAAATGTTTTACTATTCTCCGTATGCACAACCTGGAGTTAATGTAACACCAACTGTTGATCAGAAAGTGAGCAATAACGTGATAAGGTGAGACTTTTAAACTGGAGGAGATTATAGTGGGTGATTTCACATTTAATCAAAAAGAAGATTTTCTATTCATTTCCTGGAATCAGACCAGGAGGACAGGCTCAGTTATAAACCAAATGAGTTTACCTTGAGTCAGTTCCCCAGTGCATGGCATAGATTTTAGCCAAATGCCCCCTCAGTGTCCGTCTAGTGCGCATCTGAATTCGGCCAACGGGGTCGATGTTAGCTGTGATCTAAGCATGATCAGAAGGAGAGAGGGAGGTCACCCGTTAACATTAGCACGAGATACAGAGTAGTCATGAACCCTGAGCAAACAAGGTGGAGAAATAAAGACAGCCAATTACTGTATTCCTCTTTATTAAGATCACAAGCAATGATTCTTACCTGAGACAGGGTAGCATCCGCACACGCTTTCCTGGCATCCTAAAACAAAATAACACAGTTTAAAAACAAGAAAACATTCGACTACAAAATAAACTGAACAGGCTTAAGGGCCTATAGCGGTAACATTAAAATAAAATGAAAATTTAAGCGGATTTGAGCAGATGAGACAACTGGCCAGTGAAATAAGAGAATTTACATTTAAGGAAAAAAAAGCAACTAGTCTCGTTTCAAGTGAATGACATCTAATGATCTTCTTTCAAGGGTAAAAATACTTGCTCATCTTATTCACCTACTCAAATTAAATACACTTATTTTAAGAAATTTTAACTTGTTTAAGATTATTTTTGCAGTGGATCTGGTTCACAAATCTACAAAGCAATTTCACAACAAAGTAAACTGCATCATGAGTTGAACTAAAGGTAGAACCTGGACTTACTCTGATCTGGTTCTTGAGCTGCTCAGCCTCCTGGCGTAGCTGATCCAGTTCACTCATTTTCCTCTGCTAATGGTGCGCTTCGCTCCGCCGCCTAGACTCTTGCTGATCTAGTGAAGACACGAAATAACAAGCTCAGCATCAAAACCTTAAATTGCTTCTTTTTAGCCACACCAACTTAAGTTACATTTGAATGACATGGTTTACTTTAATTTTAGGTCCCTAATCACATGTATGGCAGAAATGTTTTTTTATCCTGAATAAATTCCTAAATGAAATAAAATCCTGAATAGTTTCATAAAAAAAAAAAATCATTTTCTCATCCATCAGTTCTGTGTGGCTCAGACAGAAAGTGGATGTGAATCACTTTTGAGGCAGCTCACAACTTGTCCTTGCCAGCTTGAAAATGTTACCTAGCAACAAGCACGAGGGAGCTACTTTAGGCTTAAGATAACAAAATTGAGGAAGATGTTGAATTTCTTCGTTCTTCAACTAAACAGAGACAAAAGACTTGGAACAATCAGTATCCATTAAGAGTCCTTGAATGGCAAATAGGATCTATGGGGGGGAAAAAAGTGCTAAAAAAATCCGCATGAACATTGAGCTAAAACATACTCTGAAACAAAGGATTCACGTATCCAGATATATAGAGAGCACCACCCAGGGTTCTCCAGCACCACTGTAGCCGCAGGTGAAAGCCGTCGATGCTCTGGCCTGTAGACTCTAAACTGCCCTCCAATGTCATTCTTGTAATCCTGGGACACAGTTGATTCAGCTCCTCCAGCCAAATCCGGTTAAGACAAAACCTGCTGATGATCCTAAAAGCAGTGGCCATCTCGCTGACCCCAATCCTCAGGTTGACCCTCTTAACACCTGTACTTTCACTATCCATTTAAAATAAATACATTTAAAACTTAGAACTGTTTCCACAAGTCTTTGGTTCAGGAGCTTGAGGCATTTTTGCAAAATGAGGCAAACATAAAAAGCCATGAGTTCAACAGGCCATAAAAGCAAAACACGAAAAACTTTCAAACACATTAATCTACATTATTTTAGTGTAGTTTCTCCAGTTAAAACAAAGAACCATCAATGTCATTAACTTCTTCCATCAATTCCAACCACTATGCATAAAATGGAAAAAAGTTTACCATCAATTTAAAAACAAAAACCAACCAGGGTTAAATAAGGAAAGGACCTGCCGGTCCAACACACGTCGGCTAGAGTAATATCTATGTTTGAAGATTATCTTACCTCCCTGCGTCTCTCGGTTTAAATGTATGTCCTTAGTCCTGGAGGCTGATGAGACGCTCTGAATGAACACCTTACACTTCATGCGCCTGAGACTATATCCGCCACCTGATTGGACGATGCTTCTAAATGGGTCTATCTAAGCAAGGTGCCTTCGCCTCCTAATCTTCACCATGATAATGTCAGTGTATTATTCTCATCTTCTCTACAAATAACTAACTTTGACTAACTGCAAAGTGGTGACAGAACTGACAATTTATCTTTATAGCCGGTCAGAAACTGTTAAATATGACTTATATTCCTTAATCTTTGAAAATACCACTTAGCAGGTCTTAAAGAAAAAAACCCCAGCAGTATTTAGTGTGGATGTAGCTTCTGTGTAAAGAACAAGTTTGGTATCTTTAGTGCCAGTGAGGTATCCACAATGTTAGACTGTCCAAAGTCGGTCCTCAAGGGCTGCAGTCCTATAGATTTTCAGTGTTTCTCAGCTTTAGCACAGCTGATTCTGATTATTTCAGTTCAGCAAAAGCCTGTTAATTAGCCATCAATGGAAATCAGCTGTGCTGAAGAAAGAAAACCTCTAAACCCTGCAGGACAGCAGCCCTGGAGGACAAACTTTGGGCATGCCTGAGTAAGAGGATGTGTGTTGTGTATGAGGGGCCATTTAAAAAGTAACAATTTTCTATGGAAACATTTATTTGTAACAGGGCAAAACATCTTTAGACTTTGATGGGTTCCTGACATTTTATGCTTTACCATTTTCTACTGAAGCTATTTTGGTTGTTTTATAACCAACTTTCCTAGCCGTTAGATGACGTAGAAATTGGCACCCAACCCTGGCTAAATGTGGAAAAAACACGCAAATATATCAACCTACAAACCCTGGCAGTGAACCTGTGAATTTCAGAGACCCAGATACAGTTTCTATCACAGACCTGTCGGGGGAAACAATAAAGCAGAGCTGCTACCATCACTTTCAGATAGGGCACTTCTGAGAAAGAGCTCAGCTGTGCTTTAGTTCAACACCGCTGAACACAACGCCGTTCTGTTGTTAGACTGATCATCAACACCAGAGCATATTCTCCTTTAAGTTTAATCTGCATATTATCAGAGAGGAAAAAAACCTAGTGCTAGCATGATGTTAATGATACTAAGCGGAGCCAGATGTCTGTTTATGGATCCATTTTTGTGGTTAAAAAGGATAAGCTGTGGAGCTTTTAGATGAAATGCTGTTATGATCATATTAACCATTTGCTGGACCAGAAGAAAAGGTCTACGAAGTCTTAGAAAGACAAAATATAAGAGGGAGTCAAAAACTAAAACAATTCCTTACAATGTCAGGTAATAGCAATGGAAAGTGAGAATTTATAATTCACCTTAGATTAGTTTACTTTGTTTTTGTGCTGCTAGCTTGAAATGACAAAAATACCAAGATATGATTGATGTAAATTTCAGCTCTACAAAAACAAACTTTTAAAATAATCCCATTACATGTAGATTTTTTTTCCTTTTTTTTTAATGGCATCACTGTTGTGGGCTTCTTAATAACGGAAATGTATCTAAAGAATGTGTTAACCTAAAAAATGTAGCCCATAAAAAAAAAGCGAAGGATTGTTTGGGATAATTAAATATCCCAAACAATACAATGCATTTCTTTAACACCATTTATAAAGGGTTGTGGGTTTTTCAATAAATACATTTAGACTGCTGCATTTGTCTTTTTTTTTTTTTTAACAAAGACAAATATTACAAATGATGTTTCACTAGCCACTGTGAGACTGACAGGAATATGTAAATTTCCACCCTGGGAGCCACAAGATACAGGAAGTCTATTTGTTCTCTTCTTGGGAACGTTTCATTGAATTGGCAAAGGAGCTATTTGACCATTAGCTGACTTAAGTAGACTGCATGGATACTGAAAACAGCAGAGAGGTCATGTTTCATCCTTTTATCATAGAGAGTCCGGGCAGCCCTTTAGAAATAGAGCTTATATCAGGAACTGATTTCTTAAAGGTGTTTATGATAATGGATGCTAAAAGCTACTATAAGGTGCTAAAAACAGTAACATGTCGCCTCTTTAATCATTCTGTTTTATTATGGTAAACCTTGGTTTTAATGTTTCTGCAGTTGCAGTGTGAAATCAGATTTGCTTCTGGTATAAACAGCTAAGAATTGCTCAGAACATTTAAGAGGACAATGAAACCTTGAGCAAAGTTAAATTTGATTAGAAATTATAAAGATAAAACAACAAACCTTTAGATTCAATAACTTTAATCATTTAATCAGCTTGATATGGTATATCCCCTTTTCCACTGCCGCAAACTCTCTGTGCTTTACCATACAGTATTACTGGACTAATTTGCTTCTCTTTCACGGGGCTTTGGTCCCTCAAGGGACACCGTACTCTGCTCTGCTTAGGCAGGCTTTTGAAGGGGGTGGAGTCGCAAAGACTAAAGGGCAGCACCATCAGTCTGGAATTCTAGGGACGCACAGCAGTTTCCTGCCAAAGCGTAAGGGGGGGGTGGCTATTCGAGAACTCGCGAGAACTTCCATGGATGTTCACAAGAACTTCGTTTTGGCAGAGACCTTGGCATCTTTATACAATTTGTCGGGGTATCGTAAAAGTCGTATTTCGAACTTCCTCGATGAACCTTTCGTCCTAGTTGTCCATTGTAGTTGTTCCTCGGTTTTTTAAAATGGTGCGCCCCCGCACCAAGTCGAGAAGGAGTCCACCCATCCCACCATCTTTAAACCATTGTTTTGTTACAGCGAATACACACATATAGTTTTTGCAGGTGTCTAGTTTACCGTCGCCTAGTTTCTTAGACGCATAATGGAGCAGACGAGGAGAAGCTAAAACCATTTGATGGATGATGAGGTCCAGGCTTTTTTAAGCATTTTTGCTAAGGAGGACATGTAACGGAGTTTGAGTTGGCAATGCGCAAAGATCGCATCTACGCCAACCAACCAGACTGGCGAAATAAACTTTGTACACACCACAAAGCAAGGGCTAGGCAAGCTCGAGAAAATGAAGCAAGACTAGAAAAAGCGGATGAGACTGCCAGTCAAAACAGTCATGCATGGTTGCCGGAGCAACAGAAGAATCTGCATCATCGTTGCTGGAGGCTGATAGCCAAGAAGAGCTCTCCAACATGGACTGCAGTCAGAGCGAATGGCCTGTTCTTATTCTATCGCGCAGCAGGAGGTGGGAAAGTTATCGAAACACGTGTTTTTATCCACAGTGTGTTACGCTGTGTTTATGATCGTGCTCAAACATGAGCTGTTCTTTACAGCGACCACGTCACTTTGTAGTTTTGCATGATTGGCCCTTAAAAGAAGGAAGGTGATGAATAAGTCGGGATTCCTCTTACTCGGGTACCACAAAGCCCGGAGCTTTTAGTGGAAGAGGGATGTTTGCATCCATTCTAAAACAGGATTTTAATAGCAGATGTAAATAAACAATAATTTTACTCTTTTCCTTTAGAGTAATTCAAACTAAATCTCTCAGCAGAGAAACCATTTCAATGATGGCTCGCTGAATGTTGAATCAGGTGTTAATGGGTTAAAAATAATGTGAAACTCCTGCTCAGATGGCTGAAGTCAGGTGATCAATGCAACTTATCAGCAACATTCCAATGTTTTAACCTCTGTTTTAACCACAAACAAAAACTATCAAAAATGCACGCTTAAAGAGATAATCTGTTCAGTAATAAATGGTTGCATTTTGCAGCTTTCACACTTTAGACTTTGTGCTCCAAGATAATACCACCTCCAAATCACAAAATTTGGAAAATCCTGATGGTTTAAAACTGTTAAAATGCTGTTTTAAAAGCATAATGGCTGAACCCCACATTGGTGATCA